CAGGTAGGGCAGTGCATAAGGATGTGCAGGTAGGGCAGTGCATAAGGATGTTCAGGTAGGGTAGTGCATAAGGATGTGACAGTTAATTAGGGAGGTGTTTTGACAGGCTGGTTAAAGATTATATCTATTCCATCCTCTCGATGACAACTGATCCGCTTTAGTTTGCCTGCCGCCCTAATAGGTCCATCACTGTTCTCAGAGCCTTCTACTCTGGAGTGCTAGAGAGCATCCTCACTGTGGGAATCACAGCCCAATTTGGTAACTGCTCTGTCCTGGACCATAAAGCCCTGCAGAAGATGGTACATTCAGCCGAATGCACCCGGAAGGCTGATCTGCCCTCACTGCAGGGCATTTACCTCAGACACTGCAGGAGCAGAGCAGCCAAAATCAGCAGGGACACAACTCACCCAAACAGCTACCTCTTCACCGGGCTGAGGGCAGGAAGGTGCTTCTGCAGTCTCCCAGTGAGAACTGAGAAGGCTCAGAAGGGGCTTCTACCCCCAGGCCATCAGACCGCTTAACACTAATTGACAGTGGAATTAAATATTCGCTCCCTACTCATGCACCATGCAGCTTTGGAGATATTTGTTGCATATATCTGGTTTTTCTTTTCTCATGTCACCTGTATAACTTTACTGTTCCTTTTTTGTTACTCTAACTTTCTGGAGGAGTTGACCACCTTGCATTTCATTGCAGGTTACAGTCGGACTGGATACCTTGCATGTGACAAATAAAACCCTTGAATCCTTAAATCCTAGTAAGACAGCCTTAAAGACACATAGGATATGAATATTCATCACACATATTGTAAAAGGATCATATTTAATATGAGTGGTGAATCAACTGTACAATAAATATCATAAATAGGTCACAGCACAATAGAATCACATAAATATTTTAACAGGACACTAATCCTTATCTTTGCAATTGGAAGATGTGATGAGATTTTCTCATCCCATCCAGGCTGCACCCCTGATTTGTGTTCTGTGCTGCCTTATATAGGCTCCAGGCCACCAGTCACCCTGACTAAGATAAGTGCTTGGAAGACAGATGGATAAAACATTCCTTGCAGGGGTGGGAAATTAGTCTTTAAGGGCTGCAGGTATTGTTAGTTTTCCACTCTAAACTGCTTAACTGAACTCATTACACACACAGTGAGCCATCTGCTATCTTAGGTGTAAATCAAGTGTTAAATGACAGCTAACTCCTTAATTAATCATGCAGATGTACAGCCCATGAGAACAGGGACGCGTGCCTTTGGTCTATGCAATTACATTACAAGCCACTAGAGGGTAGCATACTATCTACCCATCTTCCAACCTCTTATCCTGTTCTGGGTTTTAGGGGGTCCTGCAGCCTATTCCAGGCAGCACAAGCCAAGGGTACACCCTGGGCAGGAAGCCAGTCCCTTTAGGAATTTATGATTAAAACTCAGACTAGCTTTAGATTACTATCATTGCCTATGTTTGTATCTTTCCCAGGAGCTAAGGAAGCTGTCTTTTGACAATGTGCCCAGCAGAGGGCGCCTCTGCATATTCAGCCATGTTTTCGACGACCTCTGCCAGGGGTCTCAGGTCTTGGGGGGCATTCTAAAAGAAATCAAGGTGTGTAAGAAAATGTTACTCTTCATGAAACAGCTGAACGCCTGTAGCTGAAAAGTAGGAGTTGATGCGACAGTTAACTAGATATAATGAGGCTGTGGAAGGTCAGTGTTCCTGTTTGTGGAAGAATCTTACAGTTTACACTGAAATGCATTGTGAACATTGAAATCTGAAATGTACATTTGGAAGAAACAATTATTGGAAGGTCATTGTCATATAAAACAGAGAAAGTGGTGATGGAGAACAAGAGAACAAGCTGCAGTTTCAGCTTCTCTCTTATGGTTTCTTTGACAGACGGAGTATGACCTTTATTTGAACTCTGTCCTCGAATCCCAGGAAGATTTTCATAATGTGGTAATAAATCTGCTTTTTGCATTCGTGATCAAAGAGAGAACACTTCTCCATGTATCTCACGCGTCTGTGATGTGAGGCTATGTTGCTACTGGAGAAAGGATGAAGAGTAATTTTACTAAATCTCAGACAAAAGGCTGTGCAATAAGCTTCTAGGCATGGTTATGTTGACCTTCTTTAGAATCTTTCCGGAAGATATATATTATGGATGGAAAAATTGTTTTATTTTTTGGTTCTTTTGTTGCAAACGAATGTGGTTTAAAGCTGCTGACCCTGTGCATTCCGTGCCTGCGTGCAGCCGATGGAGTTCTTCCAAGATGGGGTTTGCAGCAGCATCATGGGAACACAAGACTTGGAGGAGGCCAGGGTGGAGGTGTCAAGGCTAGAGGAGAAGGCCTGGGAGGCTCTGGAGGAGAACGAAAGGTGAGCGACCGCTGAATGGACATGCACATGAATCCCAGTAGCTGAAATGAATGAACTCTGGTGTCCCCCAGTAATGTGACCTTTCATTGGCCTTTAAATCTGTGCCCCAGAGTCAGGTGTGAACTGCAGACAGTGCTGGATCAACCCCCCAAAGATGAAGGTAAGTTTACTACAGTGGAAGAACCTTAAGTGCTCTTTGCAGTAGTCCTGTACTTGACATTTCCTATGTATCAGAATCTGTGTTGCCTGCAGTAAAGTTTTGTTTGTTGGGTCTGTTGGTTACTGATTGGTTCCTGCTGAATGGTTTGCATAGAACAAAAACAGAAAGTGCAATAGATGTATAGAACCATGGATGAATTTTAATTCACAGAAGGCCACGACTTCTCTACACTTTGTTGACCCGTTCTTCAATGACAGACATGACCCAGGGGGTGGATGGACAGAAGCTGGGGGAGGGATCAAGCCCCTCTGCAGACCAACTTCAGCTCAAGAGCCAACAAGCGTGTAATGCAGAAGAAGAGGTCCAGACCCTGGAGAGGGAGAGCAGAGAAAGTAGAGTTTCCCCTGACACTGACATGGCAAAGCACAGCATGGGAGATGCAAAGGTATAATGAGTGATGTTTCACTTGTAATGCAGGTTCTACTGTGTTCCTACTTGGAGTCAAACAGACTCATCAGGGAACACTGGAAGTAAACATCAAGGAAGGTAGCAGTTACTTCTAGGAATTTATTGTTTTAATCTGGGGAAATGTCACTGGGGGCAGTATTAAGTCAGCAAGCTCAGTACTATAACTTAGAAAGTGTGACGTTGGAGCCACTAGCAGCAGAACCATTTTATTTTTTTAAAGTGTAAGAACAGCAAAGTTTCCTGCTTGTCCTTTTCATTCACTGGGTCTTTGTCTGAGAATGTTAGCGGGACAGATAGTGAACTGTGCCCCCCTCCCAGCACTGAAACAGGGGCATCCTGCCCTGTAGCATTTAACGTGTGCATCAGCGAGGCTGTGCTCACCAAGCATGCAGCTCCCAGCCTCTCGCTTTCCATTAAGGAATGCTGCAGATATGCAGAAATGTGTCGGTGTCCATTACCAGCTCTGAGGCCTCTTAAAGTGCCAGCACTCATCAAATTAGTGACCCTCTTTATTAATTGCCTACAGCCCGAAATAATAAGAGTTCTGGCGTCAAATGAAGATCTCCGAAATAGCAACAAGGTAAGCCATGCAAAGCTGCACGGTTACATGCAGCCAAGATGATGTCATGTTTAGAGCATTGCTTATTTTACGTGGGATTACACCCGAAATAAATACTGCCAGTATAGTGTGATGGTGGCTAACCCGAAAAAGTGCAGACAAAATGATTAAGAGGATGTTTGTCTTCATTTAAAGGATTTCGAAGGCAACATCGGTGCAGTTTTCCAAAGGGCCAAAGTCACTGAGAACATGAAGCAGTAGGTGGTGCAGCCGTCGATGATCACTGCTCATGAAATTCATTTGTGGTGTGGAGCACGTCACTGATGGGGATCTCATTTCAGACAGCTGTGGGACAAGATATGGGCCGCCCTGAGACACGGTGACGACACAGCCAGTGTCAACCAGTGAACTACCGAAAAAACGTGCTATGATTTTATCACTATTAAACAACATGGCATAAAATGTGAATATTTATAATATTTTTACTAGCATGTACAGGAGCTCTTTGCTTGTCACACACCCCATCTTACACACCATGAAAGACACTCATGCATATTTCTGCTCAGCAGTTGGGGTTAATGGTCTTGCTATTAATCACTCTGCTGGAACATGGGATTTGAATCCATAACCTTCCTAACACAGGCAATGTCCCCTATCCCATAATAATTAAGATAATCTTTTACACCCCACAATTATGTATATAATTACTGGAGTTTCAGCTGCACGAATTTCAACTTCCTAATAAATATACCCTGTGTGTATTCTTGGTAGTTAATGCTTGGTTAATGCTTCTGTTCACTAGGTGGCTGTGTTCTACAGTAAGACTTCTCAGCATCACCAGAATGTAAAACAAAATTAATGATTTCATGCTCGACTGAACAAACACAGAGACCATAAGCAGGATATTTATTTTTATATATTAGACTAGTTGTCTTATCTAAGCCCCTTTACAACCACTCCCCACTTTAAAAATTTTAAGGCACAAATAAAAACCAAATGAACAGCAATCATAATAGTTATAAGAAGAGTCAGAATAATGGTTGGCCTGAAATGAGTTGCTGATCTGTCTCTGTGCAGCTCCAGTGCTGTGGTCTAGTCTCCACACCACAATCAAAGTGGTCCCAGATGCAAAATGCAGGAATGGTCACTACAAAGCTTGCATGGGGAACCCAGTCTCCTTCAGATCATATTGAATACAGTACAGTGTCTACATTTTAGGAGCACATGTCATAGGATGCAGCCTTCAGGTTGAACCTCTTGGCTTCCTTTTCTGGACCATCTTGATGTATGTTCTTTGTTTTTTTTCTCAAGAAGAACAAAGAACATGATTTACATATGTGGAAAAAAAAAGAATATTTTCTGATCTTTCCCCAGAGCATTGTTCAGATAACACATTCAACAGGGCTGGCCCAAGGGGTGACAGCATAAAGCTTAGATGATTTTTGGTTGGTGTTCACCTACTAATGCTACTCTACTCTTCAAATTTCTTTCGTCTTTACTTGACTGAGGCACACCATTTTAAATTACTCCAGGAATACTTGTGATTTTGGGACTGGTCTACTGCCACAGACGCTTTGTTGTTAAGATGATAACTCAAAAACTGTTTGACTTATCTTTTTCAAACTTTGCAGAGGCAATGTATGGGTGAAAAACTAAAATTAATTAAATGTTAACATAGATCACCCCAAAACTGAGTCAGTGCTGTATAGTGATAGCAAAAATAAAGGCATTTTTGACACTTGATCCCATTAACGAAATAACTCAAAAACTATTTGATGGATCTTTTTCAAACTTTGCAGTGGCATATTATGGGTGCTGTGAGAATTTTTCTTTAAATCTGTTGTGGTCCTTAATGGAACTAGGAGTTTCCATTCGGTAGGTTGAAGGGTGTGTGTATGTGTGTGTGTGTATATATATATATATATATATATATATATATATAATGATTAGCTTTAGCATTAACTTTCATGTTTCCAGGTGATCCGTCCAGTACTTCTAGAAATTGCACAGGTTGGTGAGTGTGGGAGGAGTTTGGATTAGATGGGCGGAGCAAGTGATGAAGCTGTCAAGGGAATACAATGCTGTCATTCTAACAGCTCCCCTTTCTAGGTATTAAAATGCAATCTAAATTCTGACCCTTAATTTGTCAAATTGTGAATGTGCTTTGGATTTAGATGAACATTGATGACTTACATAACTAAAGAACACACTTCTGATTATTAAGGTTCAGTGAAACCTTGCCAACTGTATTGGCATAACACAGACAAGAGAAACTATACTGTCTTTAGTTTTTTCCCCAACTGTTATTAAGAAAGAGGGGTGATTACATGGGCAGGTGAACATTGGTCATTCTCATCATAAGACTAGAAATCAAACATCCTTATCAATGAAAAGGAACAAAGTTTCTCTCTCAGTTTTCTTCGGGGGGTGGGGGCTGCCCCACAGTGGTCAGTTATTGCTGTTACACAACACAAATATTTGAATGACAGCATGTACACACAGCAGAGAGAGTATTTAGAGGCTGAGTGACTGGCTGGGGGTGGGCACTTAGGAATGCAACTCCAGCTGTATGAGTAGCTCACAGGGAGAATGGTTATTAATGGCAGCAGCTGACAGATTGTGTGAGGGGTACACTCACAGGGGGGCGGGGTCCACCATTGATTAATCCCAATCGTAAGACTCATAGCACATAACAGGGCAGATCACAGGATGTTTTGCCACTGGCAGTGATGAGTTAAGCTCATCAGAGACTAGATCAGAGTAGCATCTGTCTCCAAATTGCTGTTTTATGAGGCAAGCAGCAGAACCCACGATGGCTGGAGTTCAGATTTTAGCAAAAACAGAAGAAGAGGTCAAGAGATAGTGGTGAAGAATAGAGGATAGAAAATAGGGAGAAAACGTATGACTGGAAGGCAGTGGGTGATGGCAACCCCTAGTCAACTACAGATAAGACGTGACCTTTGCTCCTCTACTGCACCAAGCCCTTTTGTTTGCTTGCTGCAGTCACTGGTCAAAGTCTGAGCGACAGTGCTGGGAGTCTATATCATGTATGCACGTGTCTGAGTGACTCCTTACTCTGTCCTCCGACTGACGAGGCTGCTTACTTGTCTCTCCTGCCAGTGTCACTCCGACACCAGCAAATCCAGCACCTCACCCTTCGTCTGGGCCATGCCGTCCGGAACCTGTGTCTCCATTCTGTTCTGCCTCTCCCTTGGGCCGGTGGCGATCCTCAGCCAGGAGGCTGATGCCCGCCAGGCGCCCACCCAGATGCCCGTCACCCCTCAGCAGGAGCCCCACGAATCCGGCTGGGGGCTGAATGCCATCCGCCAGAGCTTCCAGGCTGTCAACGGCTACTTCGATTCGATGGTGGAGCTGATGGGAGGTCGCAATGGCGTGTGTCAGTACCGCTGTCGATACGGTAGGAAAATGGGGGAGCGGGGGTGTCACTAATGTGTTAAAACATACAAAAACCAACCGTGAAAGGAAATCAAGTCAGGTCTTCAAAATGTTACTGTGAGTTAACAGCAGGTAGCTCTTTTAGGCCAGGTGTACATGATCGGGAGCACAGAAAGCATCAGTACTAGTGAAGTCAAAATTATCATATGATTCCAGCTAATAATATGATTCCGGAATTTCACTGGGACAGAATGTTATGTGCAGTGTGTTGTTTGCCAAAGCCTTGTTCATATAGTTATAATACACACACCTAGAGGGTCCATTAAAAAATAAAAACATTTTCACTCAAACAACGGTCTGTTTGCATAATCAATTATGTGTATCGCTAACCAATAAACAGGACGCACATTGCAATACAGTTCGCAACACAATGTAGTTGTTTGAATTCCTTTCATTTGCAGTGCTGGGAGGAGTGTAAGAACTAAAGAAACGGATATTTCTCTAGCATCCGTCAGAGTAAATCACGCGGTTCCAGATGAAAGTGAGCTCTCCTTTTACCCGTAGATAAAAAGTTTGAGCTCGCAGCATGAATTCGCCCTCAGGGAAACGCTGCGATGGTCGGGGCTCCATCAGCGGGAGGTCAGAGGTGTTAGGGGAGCCAATGGCTGCGGAGGGTGTATCTGGAGACCCCACACCGAGGATCACGCCACATGGGCAGCCGCGCAAAAACAAATAGGAGCAGGCAGGCCAGGAATATACACTCTGATCCACAGAGCAACTGCAACTGTGTACATAAGTTTTCTGTCATCTCTCCTCAAAATAGGAGTTTGCTGCCGGTGTGAGTTTAAGGTTCCACCAGCACTTCAGCAAAGAAGCTGCTGACTGCAAATTCAATGAAATAATGGCAGCAAGAACAATAGCAGTAGCTATTAACCTGTAATCAGTACATAAAGTTATTATAATCAACCACCAATTTAAACTCAAAATGAAGACATTACATTGTATCTGTTGGTTAGAATAGGGGTTTTCTTTTGATTACTTTCTGTACTTGACTTGACTAAACAAAAGCGCTGTGCATTTATTATGACTGTCCCCACTAAGACACCTTATTGGTCGGCCTGTTGGTACCCATAGACCAGCTATGTATATACACGCCATTAAAGTGATCGGTAGTGACACAGAATATATCTAGTGGATACAGTACATCTACAAAGTGTACAGTCTTACATTACTAGTTGTCATTAGCAATTGTGGGACTAAAATACCATTTCAAAATTACATGGTCACAAATAAACAACCAATAATGCTGATTCTACAAAATTCCAAACATTATTATCAGAAAAAGAATGGCACTTTGGTCTGAATATTCCCTTTTCCCCCTGTATTAGAGTAACTCTAGTAAAGCTACTGTACCCAAATGGCTAATGTACCTACCATTAGTCCGTCCAGGAATCATTCTGGCTTCAGCCCAACTGTGCCGGACAAACCGATGACAGAATCTTCCACTAATATGCTGAGTTAATGAGAAGTGTTTCGTCCTTCAGGTAAAGCTCCTCTGCCACGGCCGGATTACAAGACCCCCGAACCCAATGGGTGTAGCTCATCCCTGCTTGGTTTCCAGGTACCAGAAAGTGTATGTAACCAGCTAACCCAAGCAAGTGCTGACACTAACACAAGAATATCTTCACCTTCAAACATGATGTATCTGTGATACAAGCGAATGACAGACCGGCTCAAGGGTGTAGCTTTGGGGACTGTGTGGAGGTGTTCCTACCAATATTGTGGGAGTACTGTGGGTGTTTAGGGGGGTGGGGGGTTCAGGGCCGATTTGGTTCCTCCTATTGTTGAAACCAAACCTACACCCTTTGGCCTCCTGCAGCTGCCAGAAAATGGGCAAAGCTTTGCACGCTAACCCACCAATTCAACACCCATGGAGACAGTGCTGACCTTCTCCTGCCCTGGTGTATGTAACCCAGCATCTCCCTGACTACCCAGCTCGATGTAGGAATCCCAGCCATGACAAAGTGCTGCAACCAGCTGGACCTATGCTACGACATCTGCGGCTCCAATAAGTACCGTTGCGACTCCAAGTTCCGGTGGTGCCTTCATGGAATCTGCTCCGACCTCAAAAGAAGCCTGGGCTTCGTGTCCAAGGTCGAAGGTCAGCCGTCGTCCCGGTGACTCAGTACCTTATTGTTGTAGATGTACACATGTGGTGGAGATGAAGCATACATGTCACACTGGGGCATTTAACCAAAGTCCTCTCGTGTCACTTTTATGTGCAAGCAGCCTGCGAGACAGTGGCTGACACCCTGTATAACACGGTGTGGACACTTGGCTGCAGACCCTACATGAACAGCCAGAGGGCAGCGTGCTACTGTGAAGGGGAGGAGAAGGATGAGCTGTAGATCGATTCCCAACGGGTCCTCAGTGCTCAGAGAAGCTCAGAAGAACCAAACCATGGACGACGCAGGTGCCAAATGACATGCTGTAGGACAACACAGTTCACAGTCCAGACCAACATGGCCTGCAGGCAGTGAATGAGACTGCAGAGAATGAGAATCACATCAAACCTCTTTTTTTTTCTTTCTTTGAACAACATCGATCTGACAGCTGAAGAAATGGCTTTGGTTCATTTGGGGACCAATCAATATGGCTGCTTCCATCACCGAGGGAACAGATGGTTACAGTATAGACTAAACTGCTGGTCACTGACAAAGTGGTGTCGCTAGGCTTCTTCCAGAAGCAGCATTTAAAACCAGCCTAATTCAGAGAGATTTAAGGACGGGCCATATTTTGGGCGCATTCAATGTGCTGAAACAGAAAAACGTATAGTGTCAAATTAAAGAGTGTGTGTGTTTATGTGTGTGTGTGTGTGTGGGGGGGGGGGTCTTAAATTAGTTTATTTAAGTTGAAAGCATTTACAGGCTGAATAATGCAAATGATATTTTTTTTGCTATTGTAAGTTTTAAATGTCGCATATAAAGTCCTAAAGTCCTTAAGTGGATTAGTTTATATTAAGAACATCTATAGCAGTTTATTCTGTATAATACACAGAGATCTTTCTATAGCATATTAAAATGTATAACACTGTATTCCTCTACTCAACAGTTTTAGAAAGCAGTATTACTTTATCTAATTATTGTGTGCTTTTCTCTCTATGTGAGTACAATTATGATTATGGTTAAGTTATACGAGTTCAACATTTAACAATATTAAAAAGTCTGAAACTGAAAACAACACCACTGATGTTTTTTCAGGCAAAATTATAATATGTTGTGGTGAAAATACCAGCCATTTTCTGCCATTTTTGCATTCCCTGCAAAAACATAACTTGACGATCACGCTGCAATCCGCTACCCAGCAAAAGCTAATTTTTAAAACGACAATTTTCCAGTTTTTATAATGATTTTCCATCTTGAGAAACACCCCGAGTCCCCCACCCCCACAAAGCTTCTGAATGAAATAAAAGCATCACATCTGTCAGACTGCTTGTTTAACCGGAGGAATGAATGATTTTTCAGCACCTTGTACAGGCTTCCCCAAACCCACTAGGACCTTTTCATTATTCCTTTATTGATCAGCTATTCATTAAAAAAAAAAGAAAAATCAGGGGTTTACGTGTCCAGAAATGCTAGTGAAATCTTACCAAAAGACTAAATTGCTCTTTTTCTCCTACAGTGAGATTTTATGCATATATCTTTTTAATGGCTATATTTAATATGTGATTACACAGCAATGCCATTTACATTTATAATGAAGAACTGATATAGTTTTGTTACAAACTACACTAAAACTACTCAGGAAAAAAAGCAAACAACAGAAGAGCCACTTTCTCCAAATGGCTGCTGTGAGTAGAATGTGCCAATGTACAGACTGCTTGAGACTTAAAACATAAAACAGAAAGACAGAATAACTGCGAGTAACTGTCGGGTATTGGAGACTCCTGTAGGTTCAGTGTGTGTATTTGTGTGCGCGCGCATGTGTGTGTGTGTGTGTGTGTGTGTGAGGGGGGGTATGCTTAGAGGACATCGTAGCAAACCTGAAAACACAAACATTGTGGGGACACACCACTCCAGATAAATGTCTTTAAAAAAGCAAAAGATGCTTGTTCAAATTTTCTTTGGTTTCTGAGTTTTTGTGGTTTGGAGTGGTGTGGGAAACCCTTCAAATGTATCCCCGTGTGACAGGCACGTATGTGTGACGTTCTCTGTGCACGTCTTAGTACTGAGGTGTGAAAGGCCAAAGCTTGAACATGCGTAAGAGCCAGAGTCTGACAGATCTCAGTGCTTGGCTTAGCCAGGACAGAGAGATCAGGCTCTATCACGGGTCCGGCAGGATCCGGATCGGGCCGCCTGTCAGGATGCGCTGGTCCAGGTGCTCCTCAGTCCAGAGCTGCCGCCGTATCCGTCTCCGACAGCCTTGTGAGCAGCGGGAGCCATCCTCCCTTTGGCCACAGACCAGCACTCGGCAGTGCAGGAAAACTTCCTGTCAAAATAGGCGCACACAGACAGGCAGATAGGCAGGCAGATATACAGGCAAACGTACAGGCAGACAGGCAGGCAGATATACAGGCAG